TAATGGAATGGATTGAAAGATATCGAATCCTAATTGTGGCTAAGTCAGATGAGCTGTAAACAAGTTGGATGACTTCCTGGATTAACGGATGGTAGTTAAGTCATATCAACTGAATAAGTTAAATGACTAACTAGTTGGTTTATTGTATGACAGTTTAATAAATAGTTGAACTGCATACCCTGGCTTTGGACGGATTTTATATATATGGTTATGGTACCACGAGTTGAGCTTGAGTCTCAGACTCGTTGGTTAGGGTGCGTATATGCAGTGGATGCGTAGCTGGTTATAATAGGTTGAGGTGTACCCTGTTAGGTCTAGGTACTCATGCCCACCTTTGGGTGCGTATTCGCATGTTGCCTTCTATTCAGGTTGAGACCCCTATTATAGACTGGTGAATGTCCCTTAGTGTGGATATATTTATACGTATGGACTAGATAGATATTGTGAGGTGTCTACGGTGTATCTGCGTATCGGGTCACTGTATGGATTGCAGTTAGATTAGAACTTGCTCGTGGGTCTGACCCACTCCTTTATTATTCTTTTCAGGTACAGGACGGTTCCAGCCTTAGAGCTTGATCGTGCTTGTCGAGGACAGTCTCACTTCCATCTGATTACGTAGGACTTCTCTCGATGTTTCTAGTATTATCTATTTTCAGTTTCATTCTCAGTTGAACTTTTAGTTAGAGGTCCATCAGTGGATTCCCAAGTTGTAACTTTGAGGTTTTGGAGGATTGGAGTTTCAATTTTCAGTTGTACATGGAGGATTTTATAATTAATGTTTCTTTCAGTTTTATTCTATCTTTATTGTTCATTTTGTCATCTGTGTTCGCTTTAAAATACTTTAATTGTTTGATATTCCCTCGGGTTTGGGCCTGCGCCTGATCAACCCGTGTCTCGGATCCGAGGGGTATCACACATGTTCCCTTAAAAAGTTATAAAATCAAAGATGGACCACTAATAAGGGATGGAGGTACTATATGTTTGCGGATTAGTTGTATATACGAGGCTGTCATTGTTAATGGAATATATAAACCATGATCTTCTTGAAAGTTAGATTAGATATGACTTAATTATAGCCACAAGGTTTGATTAAGTGCCCTTGTGAAATGCTAGACACCATCACTTTGTAGAGATTTATTTATAACGTACCTTGTCAAACTCTTCAAAAAAGCCACTACTCCTTTAGCTGGTAATTTCATTGTTACCCTTGTTTAATGCACGTTTCTCTTAATTTTTTTGAATGGTTGAGATCATTTTATATGTAGAATTAATTGTCGAAGTCTGATTCGTTTGAATCGTCAAAAGGCCAAATAGGCATGTTGACACATTTTTCGGATCAATGTCGAAATGTTTTTCATGTATGTCTCCTCAAAATCAATGCCATACTCCTATATGAATCCTCTGGCTACAAGTCGGGCCTTATAGCGCTCAATAGACCCATCTGAACGAGTCTTGATCTTGTACACCCATTTACATCCTACTAACATTTGAGGCAAATCAATCAAATCCCATGCCTGAGTTTTGGTCAGTGTATCTTCTAATCCTGTGTGACAGCAAGCAATGAAAGAGGAGTTAGATGTATTCTAGGGTTAAAGTTAGTCGTCTTCACCTACCCTTATTACCGCATATATCATTATTTTATAAAACAATACTTCGGTCCTCAATAGTAAGGATGTACACCATATTAAGCGTTGATGTGGACCAATAATAAATGGACATATTCTATTTTAATTACCAAATCATAGATGGTAATCAAATCACCTGATTTGGTAAGTGGGTATTTACCTCACCATATTGAATTTGATAATTAAGGATGACGTGTCCATTTATTATTGGTTCACATCAACCATGAGTATGGTGTAGATCCTCACTAGCGAGGACATGAGTATGGTGTAGATCCTCACTAGTGAAGACCTAAGTATTGTTCTATCTTATATGGCAATGACTTGTTCTCCATACATGACTCTCCTATTTAAACCCCCATGTAATACAATATCATATTTATTCTCTCTCTTATTTCTAACATGGCATCAGAGACACTATTCTCTCTTCCATTTTTTTTTTAGGTTCTTTAAATTCTTGGTGTGGTTCTAATAACCCATCAAGAACATATATTCTGCCTAGCATCCGAAACAGGTCCTCTATAAGTTCTTTCGTCATTTTGATCGTGTTAAATAAAAGTATAGGTATTGACCATTCCGATGCCACTAGAAAAGGCTAAAAACAACACTGCACGTGCCTCCACGCGCCACCAGAAGTTTTCTACTCTCTTTTCCATTCTTCATGCGCCACCACTTCCATCCAAGCATGCATACACGCCTACATGAACCATATATACCATTACAATTGGAATGGGGGAGGGGTGCGGCTGGATCGGTGGTGGTGGTGAAGCACTATGGGGCTTTCTTTCTCTCTCTTTTGCAATTACAATATATATATATATATATAACCGAATAGGCCGGGAGAGGAGATAGATAAATAGAGTGATTTGGTGGGTTTTGTCAGATTAATAAATGGGGTCATTTTAGTCATTTAGGATTATAGATATTAAATGGTATTAATAAAATCAGGATAAATGGGTAAATTCGCATGTGTCAAAACTTAAAAAGTAATTTAGAATGTAATTAAAAGTTAAAAGCGAAAATTGACCTAACTTGAAGAAGTATCTCTGTAATTTACCCTTATTTATAGCCACAAAGTTTGATCAAGTGCCCTTGTGAAGTGCTGGACGCCACCACTTTGTGGACTTTTATATTTAAGCTTGTCAATCTCATAAAAAAGAAAAAAAAAGAAAAAAAGAAGAAGAGAAGAAGACTAAACTAGTACTGGTCATTTAATTGGTCCTCTTGTGTTAGGCACATTTTTCTTAATTTGTTTTTTTTTTTTGAATGATTGAGATCATTTTAGAAGTAAAATTGATTGTCGAAGCCTGATTCATTTGTATAGTCAAAGGGCCAAACATGCATGTTGACATTTTTTCATTTCGAAATGTTTCTTTTTTATTAAAAGGGACAATATTTTCAACGGGAACGAGCCAACGAAATATACAGAGTAATATAGAGCTCTTTTATTACAAGAGCACGAGTTCTCTACATCTAGCAACTCGATTGAAACAAGTATTAAATGATTTATTTAAAATATCAAAGATCTCAAAAATCTCAAAAAACTGTTTCAATGCAATAGCTAAATTATATACGCATTTATTTTTAAAAATATTATAAAAATATTTTAATACATTTCTAACAATAACCTATCAATGTAAAGTGCTAGCGGAACTTACATTAAAAATACACGAGGGTCCTTTTTCTTTTTCTTTTCTTTTCTTTCTTCTTCTTCTTCTTCTTCTTCTTCTTCTTCTTCTTTTTTTTTTTTTTTTTTTTCTTTTGTATATATAAGCCTATGAGGATAATAAGGTAAAAGAAATGCTGCTAAAAAAATCAATTTATTAAAAAAAAAAAAAATCAAAAATTAAATGTGCACCTCCAAAGTTTTGGAGGACAAGCAAAAACTATTTTACATTCTAAAGAAGTGTGAGAATAAGTTGAATAACGAATCAAACCATGATGAAGGGCCCCAAATTATTAAGAGTCCATACCATTAGCAATTTGCTTTAGATGGATTGGATTTATCCCAGTACTAATAAAAAAAAAAAAACAAAGTGTTCGTTTTGTTTTTTTTAAAAGGCAAATAGGAACAACATTATTAAGCAACAGCATTACAATTTCTGCAAACGAACTCCAAATTAGCACACACTAAGCCACAATTTAACAACTTGGAAGACCACATCTTAAGCTAGATGAAAAGGAGAAAGATAACAGATTTGCAATCCTCTTTGAAAATCACAAGCCTTATAATCTTAATGCTTTCCTGAAGGACCATCACTTCTGCAACCCCAGCATTATGAACATTGTGGACAAAGAAGGAAGCTAATGGTCTATCATCATACTTAACTTTCTGACAATTAACCCCCACCCATTCATTTGTAGAAGAAAATAAGCAGCATCAAAATTAAACTTAAGCATACCAATTGCCGGAGCTACCCATGAAGACGTCACAGCCAGAGAGGAAACATCAACAATGTCAATGGCTTGGTGTTGCCTCTGACCATCATTAAAAAAAAAAAAAAAAAAAAAAAAAAACAAAATTCATGAACACCCCATTCATTCCTGCACATTCATAATCTCCGAGACAAACAAAGGCAGCTAAACTCAAATGCGCATCACCCCTTTTCATCAATTTCCACACCACACAGACTTGAGCCCACCTCTGTTTCCACCACATCTACCAGTAGAATCGAAACTCAACCTTAAAGGCCATATCTTCCACACAAGTTTAGCAATCGGACGTCTGCACAAGCTGGAACCTTCACCATGAAAGCTAATCGATATACCATTCCAATTAGGACCCCAAACAATCTGATCCTCCCCTCAGATTCTCTCAAAGGTAACTTCAATGTAGGCTCAACATCTCTGCAATTAAAAGTCTCCTTCACAAGATTTTCATTCCATGAGTGGGAAGAAATATTTATCAGATCCACCACTCTTTGAACTGGTAGAAATCTATTCACAGTTACCCAATCATCCTTCCAAACATCATGTCTTTTTCTTGAACTTATTTCCTCCCTTTTTTTTTTTTTTTTTTTTTTTTGAAGTCTTTTTCATTGTCCAAAAGTAACAAAAGGAATAAAGCCCTCCTCCATTTAATGATTTAATCTCATACTGTATTTATTATGCATTCAGTATAAATCATTTAATACCGTAACAAATAAAGCATTAAAGCTAAAGAGGTCTTCTGTGATGCTTTTTGTCAAGATAGATGATAAAATTACTAAAATGAATGTTAGAAGGCCCAGTGAGAGACCCACCTCATACGACAAACAAAGTTCCACAATCACAATTCAACACTCATCGGTTCTAAAGCGCTTGATAAGATGGAATTAGCTTTCATTGATCGATAGAAACACAGATTAAAAAAAATATATATATTTTCAATAACTTCCTCAGGAATTGCGGAACGTAAACTATAGATAAAATCAAAATGGAAAACCGTGTATATGTAAAGTATAAAAAACAAAGAAAATTCATCTGAATGCCCTAATCGAACCCCGCTTTTCCCATGTTGGAGTACCACATGCTCCAATTCTTGAACTTTGTACATTCAATTTTTTGATCATCAATGGAATTCCCCTGTTTTTCCCCAAACTACTCTCCACCTGTTTGAATTCAGCGTCAAGCATCGTCGACAATCTTCTTCCAACACCCAAATCCTCATAACGGTCTTCACCATCCATGAATCGCATCCGATTTGTGATGATTGGAGCATGAGGCGGGGATGGGGTCACTACGAAAGATGAACATTCGGTCCGACTTGAACTACCCTTCTCTGCAATTCTTCTACCCTTCGATCCATCATTCCAAATCGGACTTCCCCTGCTTTCCCCCAAACCACTCTCCACCGCCACCGCTTCAAATTCTTCGGCAAGGTTTCTGGCCAAAATGTTACCAACACCCAACTTCTCATCATCCTCTTCGGCGGCTTGCTTGCGCTCCGCTTGGAGTTTCTTGATGCTGCCTTCGATCTGTCCTTGGAAGCGGTGGCGCAAGGACCAGTGAGCTTCTTCGGCCGACGACGGGTCGAGAACGGCGTGCAGCTTCACATCCATACGAACTAGGTCAAACACCATCGCTAATTTGTTTTGGAGGAATTAGTCTTACTCTTAGTCGAAGAGTAAATTCTAGGGTTTTTGTTGAACGAGTATACCCAATATATTGAAGAAATTCCTAATCTAATTAGGTGGAATGGTTTGGGCGGGAAATTTGGCGGTTTTTGGTTTTTCCCCCAAGGCAAGAAGCAAGATTCAATACGTGAAACAAACTGCTCAAGTATTTGAGCCCCCACTTTGATTTATCTTTAACCCTACCTGAAACAAACTTAATTCGAGCCCAAAAGCTTCTTGAAAGGGTTTGGATATTGTTGCTTGGGATGGGCAATCTTAATTTAAGCCCAAGTTTTTATTGAAAGGGCTTGGACATTGTTGCTTGGGATGGACCAACTTAATTCTAGTCCAAGCCCTTCTCGGCATTGCTGCTTGGGATGGGTTTTCGGAAAAGAATTTCTTTGTGTTGTGTTTGGACATAGGTGTCCAACAACCCAAGCCTAACTTGAGCTCTTATCTATAAAATTAATATCACTGATTGTCCAATTATCAATGGATCTCAATTCTGACTCTGCTTGGACATAGGCGTCCAACAATCCAAGCCTAACTTAAACCATTTTCTATATTATTAATATCGATAATATTATTATCAACTAATGTGTTCATCATTTATTTAAAAGTTATGGAGAAGAGAGAGACTATTTTTATCCATCATTGACTAAAAAATTCTTGTTGGACACTGGTGATTCATTTAAACACTGGTGATCGGTAGAATAGTACTATACTTTGTTTCTTGTCATAATTAGAGAATGAAATATTGTTAGTTGTTGTATCATAACGTTGCTTGGTAATGCTCTTCATTCAAAAGATTCAACTCATATACATATACATATATCTTAGTCTTGAGTGATACAACAATTACTTGAAGTTTTAATGTCGTATCTTCTCTCTTTTGAGATCTTTAAACTCCTCCTAGGCACAACATGCATAGCTACTATAGAATAAACCATCAATTATTCCAGGGATGCAAATGAACCAAACTGTTCATAAATAGCTTGAAATCAGCTTGTTTAAAGTTCAGTTCGAGCTCATTTGAGCTTGATTTCTAAGCTTCGTTGATCCTAAATAACATTGGGCTCGTGAACAGATTCATAAATATAAGTTTGTACAGGTTCATTACTTAAGCCAAAGAACATTTTCATGAATTTTAGGCTCGTTTATGTTCATTAAGAAGCTAAATGATCTTTAACATGAGCTCAAATTGAGTTCAAACAAATTTTGTTATTCAATGAGTTAAGTCAGAGTTTTTTTAAAAACTGACGAGGTGAGTCCAAACTCAACCTTTAAGCTCGTCACGATTCCGAACCAAACTCGAGCTAAGCCCACAAATAAACAATCAAGTTCGAACATGATTAAATCTGGTAAATTCATTTGCAACCCTAGTTAACCCTTCATTCCAAACAAAGCACCTAAGTTGCCTTAGAGTATACTCGGCTCAAGTCAAGTGGCCATTGGCTTGCACTGTTGTGATACATACATATCACTTGGTAGGGTCTTCTCCATTTAGTAGGACTCACACCAAAGTTATGCTGTGGCAACGCCACAAAAAAAAAAAAAAAATACTAATGAATCATATTGCAATCCATTTCAACCTATCAAGCACCAGTGGTCTAGTGGTAGAATAGTACCCTGCCACGGTACAGACCCGGGTTCGATTCCCGGCTGGTGCAACCCTTTTTTGCCTTGCCATCTTTCAATCCTATTTTGTATTTTGCTGTTGTTCCTCATTGCCACGTATATGCTCTTCATTCAAAAGATTCAACTCAAATACACACACACATAAATTCTTACTACTTTTACCCACTTTTTTAAGATATCTTTGTTGACAAAAAACATGTATCATTGCCAATGCTTTATCTTTCCTAACCCAAACTTGCACTCTTACCTATTAAAAATGAATACCAATCTCTTCTCAATACTGAATTTGTTTCCTACCGCTTTCTACCTCAATACAAAACATTTTATCAAAACTAATCTTTCTAATGCAATGAACCAAATTTACGTGGCAAAAAAAGTATTCATTTTGTTTTAACGAATAAAAGTTCAATCCACCCAAATTCAAAAGCTATTCAAGACGGAAAAAAAAAAAGGTTTATTAAATTTGGAGGGCCTTAATAATAAGAATAATAATAGGGAAATCGATGAATTAATCCTGAATAAGTATCGAATCTGACGTGTTTTTATCCACCTCATCTATTTAAACAGTTTTCAAAAATAATTGTTTAACGAGTGATAAGAATGACCAACCACGTCAAATTCGATATTAATTCGGTGATTTCTTTTCGGTTCTCCTATCATTACTCTAATAATAATGATGTTATTTTGATTTACGGTGAAGGAATAGAGACACTGTAGTTGGTTGGAAAAGAAGAATTAAAAAGAATTTGGATGAAACCTAGAAGATACTTACAATGATAAAGCAGAAATAAGAAGATGATAGAACCAAAAAAAAAAAAAATAATAATGGAGATGAGATATTGTTTCAATGGGTGTGATTTAGGGTTATTTTAGTCATTTCCTTTATCAAAGAATAAAAGTAGAGAGCACTTGAAGGGTCTTTTGGAGTGAGAATATGAGCTCCCAATTGTAACGTTTATAATACTAGAATGGTAACAAAATTGGTTGCAGCATAAACAATAATTTTTTTAGCAGTATGGCTTAAGTGAGTTGAACAGATTCTTTGATCCATCAGATAAATAATTCGGACAAGACTTGCATTCTTATTGGTGAGTAAATTATCCTTTTATGGTCTAATTATAAATACACAAATAATTTACAATTACAAAATTAAGAAAGTGTTAAATAAGGTCTTTTTGAAAAAAAATCAGTCACCCTCTCTATTTGTTTTCCTTATTTATCAATTTTGTAATTGCAAGAAATGTGTGCATTTGTAATTGGACCACGTTAGCGGTCAATATGAATGATCTACTCTACTCACCAGTGTATAGACAAGTCTTATCAATTTCTTTATGGTGTACTATTCAATTTCTGGATTTTAAAAATAATTCTTTTTTATTTTATTATAAATAATGATTTAATGATCAAATTCGACAGTTACCTAATTCAATTTATGTCAGTAGGGTGGTGGGTTCCATCATATGATGTCACATGCGGTCATTTGATAGGATCCACTACCCCTTTCACATAAATTGAATTCGATAATTGTGAAATTCGATCCTAAATCACTACTCTTGAAAAAAAAATAATAATAATAAATTTGATGCTACTTTTGTTTTTGTTTTTGTTTTTATTTTTTATTTTTTATTTTTTATTTTTTATCCTAATTAATTTGATGATACTTGAATGTGGATTTTTATAATGATTAGTCATTATAAACTCTTGTTTTTTTATTTAAAGGTGTATGAGCTTTCAAATTTGTGGTTATCCCTTCTTCATCTTATGTGGTTTTCTAATATGACTGATTAAATTTATATTTATTGATTTGTTTACAACTCATGCCATGATGCTTTCAATATATATGTACATTTATAAGTAAAACCAACGGGAGTGGAGGATACTTACCAAGTGAATTACTGAAAAGGACAACAGCTTATTATAATTTATCTTTTATAAAATGGTAAAGTACAGTCACACCCTCTAAAATTTGGCAAAAGGACACTTAGATGAAACTTACCTATTTTTTAGACAAAGACACCCCATGAAGATTCAAAAATGGACAAAGACAATCATTTACATGAGAAATTGACCAAATTACCCTTTGACCGCTTAAGAGACTTTTTTAACTTTACAATTTAATAAATTAAACCAATCTACCCTCATGAGCAATTTATGTATATAAAAAAAAGTAACAAAAAAAAAAAAAAAAAATTACCTTCCTTTTTTTTTTTTTTGTTATTTACGTTATACATATCCCAACTTCTTAAAAATATAGACGTCTAAAATGATTTTTTGATCCAATACATATATTTCAAATAAATTATATTTTGTTATTACTTCTTTTCTTTCTCTTTTTTATTTTTACATTAAGATGCTTAATTCTTTCATCTAAAAAATTTAAACCAATCTATTTTCCTTAAAAATAAAAAATATGGTACCAGTATAACTTTATGCACCTTAATTATATATAAAAAATATTGTATATTTATAAAGTAAAAAAATAAAAAATAAAAAAGTAAATAATATAAAGTTTTTTTTAACTTTTTTTTATGCATAAATTATTCATGATGGTAGATTGGTCTAATTTATTAAATTGTAAAGTTAAAAAAGTCTCTTAAACTGTTAAAGGGTAATTTGGTCAATTTTTCATATAAAGGGGTGTCTTTGTCCATTTTTGAACCTTTAGGGGGTATCTTTGTTAAAAAAATAGGTAAATTTCCTTTGAGTGTCTTTTTGCCAAATCTCAGAGGGTGTGGCTGTACTTTACTCTTTAAAAAAAGTTAGGACGAACGGTAAAGAAAGGTGCTAAGAAAATAAAAAGGGAAGGAATTTATGTATGTCATTATCATCAAACAATGACTGATATATTTGATTATAATATATGGTAGAATGATCAAGTAATCTTCTCTAATCAATTACAATTCTTCCATGGAATTCACTACATCATTGAAATTTTTATGACAAATCCAAAAATATATATATTTGTGGATTAGTTTTATGATTATTTATAACCACAAAGTTTGATTAAGTGCCCTTGTGAAGTTCCTATCAGTGGTGCTGGACACCACTTTCTAGACATTTATGTATAAGCTTGTCAATCTCATAAAAAAAAACTACAACTATTTTAGCTGGTCATTTCATTGTTCCTCTTGTTTAAGGCACGTTTCTCTTAATTTTTTGAATGAAAATTCATTGTCGTATGATTCGTTTGTGTTGAATATCAGAGATAGAGAAATAGAGATATGAAATGTAGAGATTTGTATATTGAAGTATGTTTGAAGCATGTACAAAGGAGCCTATTTATAGTCTATTGTGCAACGGCTATACAATTGTGATTAAGATATAATCACGGTAATAATCACGACAAGAATCAGTATACAACGGTTATATTAACATATATAGAATCTTTATATTGATATCCCCCTTCAAACTCAAGGTGGTAAAGCAAAAACTAATTTGAGTTTGGAAACTAATTCTCAAAATCTGCC